TGGGTGTTTTGGGGGGTGGCGGTGGAGGGGTCGGAGGCAGGCCCTTTCGAGCTCTGCCAGGGTCCTCCTGCGCGCCCACATTCAATGTCGGACCAATGGAAGGATGACCTCCATTGGGCGGGGAAAAATGGTCTGCACACGGTCGATGAACAGGCGGGCTTTAGGAACGGCGAAGGGCCCATGGTGTGGTGAGAGACTGCGCATGGTACAAAAGGATAATTTGGACGCCATTCCGTACTGCAGTCCTTCCATTGTCACGGCTCCAGAGGTGCCTCGTCTGCACTGCCCTCTCACCGTACGCCTCCGCATCCCGTTCGACGCTCCATGCCTCCACGTCATCTACTCTCACTTTGTGGTGGACCTTTTTGGTCACCGGTTCCTATTCCGAGGTGGGTGGGCGCAGCGCTAACGGGAGCGTTGCGCCCGCCCGGACGAGGACTGCCTGGCTGATGTGGGGTGCTTTCACACGCTGGTACAGGCGGCGGGTAGAGGGGCGGTAGGACTACGCTGGAGGAGTGGCACGGTGGCAGGCGATGGCGTAAAGAAAGGTACACCTCCATAGTCGGCTCCTTGCTGCGTGAAGGTGGGCGGGGAGAGGGCCGACCGGCTGCGGAAGGTAGAAATGGTAGGTGCTATGAGGAGGGAAGACTGCTGCTGTGAGTCAGGGGTCATGTAATCAGAAGCACGTGAGGGAGGAAGGTTGTTGCGGCGAATCATCAGTTTTCGTTTTCTTCTCCAGCTGCGATCCATGTTGCCACCATGAGGATTGAGCTTAACGATCTGCTCGACTTGTGTCCGCCTATTCTATCGCCCAGAAGGTAAGCCTACCTAAGTAAGCTATGGTTGTGTGGATGAGGCGACGCGGTGGGTGAAACCCTTCCCTCTTCCTCAACCGTATGGTAAGTGTATAGCTAGGGTGTTTTTGAACCCCTTGTGGTGACTCGTCAACAGGTTTGGCGAGGGGGTGCCACACTCTTTTTGTTTTCCGGTAGGAATTTGAAGATGGTCGTTCATGTCTTTGGTGTTAGTTTTGCCTTGAGCCTAGAAGCTAGGAGAGGGAGGAGGGGAGTCTTTCCTTCCCCAAAGACGCAGGGGTAGGGTTTGAGGGGTAGGAGGTAAGTGGTGGGTTAAGGAAGAAGGGATAGGAGGCTGTTTTGTTGATTTGGAATTTAACCCATGCGTGGCTTAGTTGTTTTATAATTTGAAATCTACTAATATCCTCATAACCAAGTTTTTTTATCATGTTGTTCTTCCACTGATAATAACCTGTGAGTTGAATTCATGATTCTCGACTGTCTTTTTTTTCTCCAAGCCGTTTGACTGGTATGATGATCTTATACTTGTTTTCACTTGTTTTCGTTTGATGATTAGCATGTTTTGCTGATCATTTTTTCGAGAGTATTTCGATAGTATTTGTTTCTTGATATTTCTTGACTATCGCGCGCAGTGATTTTTCGTGAAATTCCTATTAAAGAGTATGTTATTTGCCACATAGTTGCTTCCTTAACAATGATCTTAAGTTCTTAACTACGATCAGGAGTATTTTCTTGATTTCAGATTCGTGAGTCCAATATTGGACATCTTAGATGGATTTCTTAAATCTTGTCTTTAAAATTTAATTTCCAACAGATGTTTGAGAGAGATTTCGTAATTTTCGTTTTTAATTTTCAATTTCTAAAAGTATGTTTTTGAAGTTTTTTCTATTCGAGAAAACCTATATCTTTAAATCTAAACCTCCTGGTCTTGATTACTGCTGCGATAAACTCTGATTTGGATTGGTTTTTTCTGTTAGATAGTGTTTCAAAGCTTGTCTGGCCTTTGTACGATATATTTGCAACTTGCTTTGTGTATTTGTGGGGTTTTCCTTTAGGGTTGGAGTCCCTCCGCGTGGGGGTTTCACAAGGTGGGAGGTGTTATCCTTGGAGGGGGGAGGCGGTATTGAAGGATTGTCTTTTTCTGGGCCAGACCGATTTAGGGTTGGATCAACACTGGAGGTTGGAAGAAAAGGGAAGGGGGTGGCTGCTTATAGCAAGGTGTGAGGATCTTGCTTTTTGAGGGAAGGAGTAACTTCGATGACCACACAGTGAGCCTAAGTGGCGACTCTGTTATCTCAAAAAAGGAGGGAAAGGGGGGGAAGCTAGATTTTGAGGCTGGAACTTGAAGGTAGTAAGGGGGATTTCAGCAGAGGAAGGTTGTTTGTTAAGGTAAATAGGCTAGAAGGACGATGCTGGGACGACACAGGCCGGTGCTGGAGCTTTTGCTCTGTGACCTAGGGGGAGCTTGAGGCCTGTGGAGTTATGCCGAGGGTGGAAGGCATAACCAGACCGTCCGACGTAGTTGGCGCCAGGGTATTGACCCTATAACCTGTTTAGGGGCTTGCCGCTACGGGAACTGTCAAGGGAGGAAGGCACTTCCTGTCCGTCAGAACTAGGTTGGTTGGTACTGGGGAGGGTTGTGGTGCCCTGTTACCCTAGCAGAAGGGGGTATGAGATCAAGTGACTTCTGTTACGAGGACTGAAAGCCTGGACCGACGTTCCGTCTGTTAACGGGGGGAGTTTAGGAAAGTAGGCAGTTTCATTCGACCCCTCGCTCTCATATTTTTCCTAGCTTTTTCGTTTTTTTCAACTTTACTTCATCTCATGAGGAAAGTTAAAAAAAATTGTTAGTCGTTTGGTGGTCCTTTGAATGTCTTTAGGACTTTGGGATTCTTATCAACTCATCCTAGGTCGCTTCAAAGTCTGTTATACTCAGTGATTTGCGGTTGTTCGATGCCAGAACGACGCTGACCGGTGCTGGGGTGTGACCCTGTAACCTGCTGATGCAGGAGCATGAGGCCTGGTAGAGAGATGGGGATGCTTTGGGGTGACATTCCACGGGACAACCAAGGGTTGCTGTGGGGACGATGCTGGTGAGAGCTGGGGTGAGTTGTGTTGCCCTATAACCCAGCAGGATGTGGGGGTGTGAGGCCTGGAAGAGCTCGACAGGAAGTAAGACAGTTTTGGAGAACTTTGGAAGGGTTTGTTAGGGATTTCGAGATTTTCGAAGCATTTGTAGGACCTCTGCGATCTATTCCCAAGCCTCCCGAATTACTGCTAGTATTCTTAGGTATCTCAAAAAGAGAATGAGGTGAGTGGGAAAAGGAGATGGTGGGATATCACGCTTTCTACTAGTGAGGGGGCTAGCTGGTAGGATGGGAATAGGGTATAGTAGCAACGGAGATGGTGACTCTGCTGCAGTAAGTCTTTAAAGTTACTGGAGTGAGGTAAAGAGGATGGACGGGGGGGGGGTTTCTGAGTCGTTTTCTGAATTCTGCTTATTTATGAAGTTTGTCGTACTCATTTCCTAAGCAGCTCCAATTTTTTATGAGCCAAAGCCGGATAATAACCCCGGTATCTCAATTTTCAAAATTATATGTAAACTTTCATATGGGACGCTGAACCCGGTTCCTAGCACGTGCTGCTTTAAAAGAAAAAAAAAAAAGGGGCTCATGGGGTAGTCAAGTAAAGTATCCTGTAGAGTTTTGAAGATTGCTTTGAAGTCGGGGAGGGAGCATGAAATGATTCTTTGCAAGCCTTAGGACGGAGAGGGGATGGAATAGGGTTGCGTGACGGGTATCGGCTAGGGGAAACCCGTATCATATGCGATTGGCGTTGGGTAGTTTAAATTGTCGAATGGGTACCGGTTGATGTGGGCGAGCCCTGGCACGATTGGCGCTGGGTAGCGCTAGTTCACCCCGTTGAGGACGGAGACTGAAGTTCTTGTGGGGGCAAGGAACTTCGGGGGATGATGGTGCTCGCCCCCTGCCGAGAAGTGGTTCTCTGAAACCCCTTACGAGGACGGAGTGATGAGGTGACTGGGATGGAGGGAATGGGGGTGGATGCGATTGACGCCAAGTGTCTTGGCGGGTATCGGCCACTTGCTATTAACTCCATTGAGGTTTTTCCTTTCGATGATGGAGGCAGGATTTTTTAGGTTGACTATTTCAGAGGTTGCATGTTTTCATATTTTCCAAAATATTTTCCAAATTTACCTACTATTAGGATCGTCCCTGCTCAGTCAATCCTCTGTTTATGGGGCAATCAATGCTTGCAGGGGGAGGTCTTCTTAATTAAAAAAAAAAGGACCTTTCTGGTCGTCATACTCGAACCTCCTCTGTGGCCAGTGCCCCGTCATACGCGCCGTCCAGTTCCTTCCTTTCCGCTGCCCGTCGAACGTCGACGTTCACATGCCCTTTGTGCACGTTCTCGTCGCACCATAACACGCCTTCATCGGCCACGTGGCAGGGGGAGTGAAGTTTATCCACATGGCATCGCGGGGCGTGACTGGAAAGGGCAGGAGAGATAGCGGTCCTAGCGAGGGGGGGGAAGGCCAGAAAGGTCGAGGACACGTGCCCAAGTTGAAAAGATTGCGTGTTGATGAGGCGAGCTCAGATAATAATGACGACTTCCAATCAGAGGAAGTTGCGGTGGTGGACCCGCAAGGGACGGGGAGGAGCCAGCAGTTGGGTTTTGTGCGGGGACGGGGTGTCGAGGGATCAACTACCTGCTATGAAACAAGCCGTCATTGGTGGTGCCGCCGGAGCGTCGCCTAGGACACACAAGGTGCAACGGATTGTCATCACCGAGGCGCAAATGCAGAGGCAAGCTGCGGGGGTGGGTGAGGCGACGGCCAGCGACGGCCAGCGACGTCTGCGCACCGATCGTCCCGGTCTGTGGGGGCGGCAGAGTTGACAAGGTAGTGATCGGGACAGTCGAGCCACGTCAGGCACTCCCCACGCAACAGGCGGGGGGTTTAACCGTGATGATAACACCGCCCCCGCAAAAGAAACTGGATGCAGGCGGCAGTCGGACGACGGCGGGAAATCATCACACTTCTGCAAGCGGAGTCGCGGAAGGTGTGGTAGAGGGGAGGGTAGATGACGTGCACTGTGAAGATGGTAAAAGAGATGGACGATGGGAAGGCGACGATGACGACGATCGACCCCTTGCCAGCAGGCGGAGGAGAACTGCACAGGAGGTTGATCTGGAAGACAGGTTGAAGTTGTGGGTTGACTACGACGTTTTTTTGGGTCAAGGGCCCGAAAAACCATTGAGGGAGGCAATTGGCGACTACGCCGACTACTTCGTCCCCATCGCGAAGGGAGACGCAGGAGCCGAACCACCGTCCATGCTCATCATGCCGACGAATGATGTGCCACGCTTCAAGATCGACGATTCGGTGCAGCATGGACCAGCTTTGTGTAGAACGCGCATCGTGGAGAAACTGGCAATGCGCACTCTCCGCAGGTGAATCTTCAAATCGTCGTCGAGGTTGAATGGCTTCGCTCGTGCAGAGTTGTACATCACCGTCGACTACGCTACCGACGTCGCGCGAGCTGTTTGGCAGGGGCTGGAATGGTCGAGAGTGGTTTCCCCAACCCTCATTTACTACACGCTGCAGATGAAGATGAACGTGCCTCTGTGGTTCGCTGGGGTGAAAATTGTGGACAGACCTGAAGATGATGACTTGGCGGCACAACAGGAGGCGACAGTTCTTCGCGTGGTGGAGTGTTGGACAAATGCGCTTTGGTGCGGACAATGGGCGGACGACGACATATAGAAACAAGAGAGGTTGACACGGCTTGCGGATTGTCTGAGGGTTCTGTTAAGCGCGTGCATGTGGATCATGCGCATGGGTGGAGGTGACGATCGTTCGCACTACGAGGCGGGATTGTACGCATCACTGACCTCGAAACCCACTCTCATAGTGGCAGGGTCGTACAGCTTCAACATCGACAGCGCCAACCTCATGTTGGATCGCCTCGGGAAACCCCACCTCACGCTGGAAGAGTACCTGCATTGCATCCCTGAATGGGTTGATTGCGGGTTGGTGTGTGATCACAATGCTGCCCTAAAGAACGCAGCTGAAGCCGCAAAACACGACTGGATCGGCAGCGGTCCTCCAGCGGATGAAGATGGTGGTGACGGCAAGTGACACGCGGGTTCATCTGGAAGGTCAATCGACTAGGGTGGTCGTCCTGCATGGGGAGGCTCTTTGATCTCCACAGGGGGCGGGGTGGGCGGGAAGGAGGCGGGGCAAGCCGTGCAGGCGACACGATGGATGCTTCGGCTAATAGTGACCCCGTGAATGGAGCCGCCATGTAGACACTGCGCAAACACAGTAGTCTTGTTTAGTTTACTTTTTTTATATTTGTTGTCAAGTTCGGACATGTACACACAAAGAGAGAGAGAGAGAGAGAGAGAGAGAGAGAGAGAGAG